CCCTCTCCCCAGACACCTTTTAATGCTTTTATACTTTTGTTTTTTAACTAGTTTTGAATGCGTTGCTACAGTTGTTTTGATATTTAGCCAGTTCATCCATCCAGATGCTGCCTTTTAGGAGGCCATCATTAATAATTTTTTACACTGGTTCTTAAAGAAGAAAGATTTTTTCTTTTTATAGACATATGCAAAACGTGCATCTTACTTAAACAACGATGTCATAGATCCATTTCTTTCTCTAACGGCGCCTCTTTGCTCCCATGCTGCTGTGTTTCCCTCACAAAGGTTCTCTACACATACCCGGCGTTGTTGTCTTTGGTTTTTCTGTCCAAGCTCCACCAAACCGCCTGGCTGATCCTAGCTGACATGCTAAAGTTTTTAGTGGCACTGCATGAACTCAACACCTTGGTGTGGACTTAGATCTTTGAGCACTTAGTTCAAAGGTCAGGGTGGTATGGAGCTGTGTTAGTGTCTTTTTATCAGAAATATCTTTGCTTTATTTTTTAACCATTAGTGCATGCAGTTTACATAATACACGCTGCACTAGAGATGGTGCCTTTTCATTCAGCTGTTTGCGTGTTTGTAAATGACAGCGTATAAGTACCTCACCTCCTGTTAACAGACACACTCTGCTCTCTCAAAATACAGGAGGGACGGACTGGAGCAATGTTTTTTTTTCTTTCTTTCTTTTTGATGACAGGGAGTTAAGTTTGAGAGGCTGGAAAGAAAGTATAAAGATGGCATACAAGTGGAAAAAAAAGAGCAAAAACCTGATACATAAGTTATATCAGTAAATCAAGAGGAAGCTTGCAAATACTCAGTTAGGCTCACGAAAGGGAAATAAAGCATGTTTGTGGTTATAATGTTGTTATCATTTAACTAGAAGGTGGATCATAAAACAGATAACTTAAAGAAAGTGGGAGTGATATGCTTGATTAAAATGTTTTGATGATGTATCAGGCTTGAACAGATGCGGCGTCTAACGAGGAACTGATGTCCATAAAGAATATCATTTAAAATTGAAATTATATATTTTATATATTTGTTTTGACGGCTATATTCCATTAGAAAAAAAATGAATGTCCTCCAGTTTTAAGAATGTAGAGAAAGAAGAAGAGTTGGTTAAATTTTAGGAATAGCCACTTAATACCAAAGGATTCATTAAGTGCAGTATAAATGTATATATATTTAATATCTGCATATAGATTGAAGAGAATTTGCAAATCATTGTCATTTCTCAGATGTTTTATGTTCTTATTTCTCTTCAGAAACATGTTTAGATTGCAGATGACAGTCTGCAGAATATCAGTTGAAGCACATTTTGCCAAAGTGAGTATTTTTCAGATCTTTGGAGTTCATGAAAATGGGCTATTAGCACTTATCAGAGTAGAAGAGATCACAGCTGCAGCGGAAATCCCAACTTACCATCAGTGATATCAGGGAATATATCATCCAGACATCACAGACCCTGATCTAGAAACCAAAAGTCTATTTATTGTAGCGTTTCTGTTCTCATTTTAGTCTCAGAGTATTAATCTCGACTGAATCCTAATTAACTGCAAATCCAATACTTGAAGAAAACAATCTTAAAGTGTCTGCTTTCTTGTAATACATTTTGAAAAGTTGTAAATGAAGAAAATGTCAGTTTTATAATAACAGATTAAAAGACTGAAATTTTTCTTACATTCCTCTTTATTTTGCTTCTTTGACAATAAAAAGGTCTTGATTAATAATCAGAATAACCTTTATTGTGTCCACACTTCTTCTAGCAATTTGGCATATTTGCAGGATAAAGTGTCTGCTTAGTAAGTAAAGAAGTAAAGCTTTACATTAACACTAGTGCCTTCAGACAAATGTAAATGATATAAATTCCCAGTTTAGACCAACATGAAGTTGTACTTATTTTTAAAGTTGAAGGAAAATAATTCATGGTTGATTTTTCTTTTTTTTTTTAAGTCTGAAATTGTGGTACAAGTGTATTACCTCCCCTTTACAATAAATAAAAAAACAACCTAGATAGAACTTAGTGTAGGTTTTAGGGCTACAAGAAAAACACTGTGGGCTGGAGTGTAAAACATGGCCCTCAAGATAAAACACGGTGGTTGCAGCATCATGAATATATACCTTATTTTAGCCAAGACAGAAAAGCTGGTCAGAGCTGTGAGGAAGATATATTGAGTGAAAAACTCAAAGATAACAGAGGAAAATCTGAAGAAGAAACTTCCAGCTGGAGAATAGAACTAAATGGCCAACCAGATTAACCGTCAGACGCTTTATATCCAAGAATATTTTTTTCTTAGAGTGTCCCAATCAAAGTCCAGACATAAAATAGCTGAGAATTATAATGAAAAATTGTTGTTTTCCATTCATTTAAAAGGTGTCAGTCTCTAGATTTACAAAGGTGGTAGAGACGTACCTGGAAAAGAGTTAAGCTAAGACCTGACTTAGTGGGTAGGGGCTAAATCAAAAGCAGGTTTCACTTATTACTTGTAATAAATGGTTATAACATATTTTCCTTCCAATTAACAAATATGCTCTACTTTAAAGTTGTAATCTTGCACAAAAGGGAATGTTTTTATGAATCGGGTTAGAGGAAGCAGTATGAAAAAACATTTGACAGAGAAACATAGAAGGGATCTAATGGAGGATGGAAGAAGAATATGCAAGTAAGGAAATTAGCAGGTTAGACGGCACCAGTGGTTTAGTGTTTGTGTTTATTAACTTTAGATCAGAAGGTAAGTTTATAACGTCTCCATGAACAGTTAAGGTTCCAGAAGTAGAATTGACATAATTTTACACAATTCAACACATTAAAACGTGAATTATGATGATGATAAGAGTAAATAAAGGCAGATTAATTTACCCAAGCATGCAAACACATCTACAGCATAGAAACATCAAATGTCAGCATTACTCCTGGTCAACAACTCTGCAACATGCCGTAGAGTCTTTCCATATGTGATGAGGTACACAACTGAGGGCCGAGGCAGGATCTGATCCCCAGACTGCCAGGTGAAAGTCATGCTTGCTGACCATATCACAAGGGGCATGGTCGGTCGGAGGCATAGTGACAGGACCTCACACTGTCACACACATGATTGCATAACTATCATTTCCACATCTGATTTTATTTTGGAACAATTGTAGAGTTTTGCCTCAATATGCCTCAAAAGAACATTTAATTTTCATATGCTTTAGATATGAATAAACAGAAGCATATTAAACAAACCTGAATAAAATGAACCTATTTTGATGGGAAACATATAAACACCAAAAATTAGGGTCAATTGTCCTAATAGCAACATCTACATAAGCCTCCTAATGCCCAAGCTATTAAGCTTTGGAAATTAAAACATATTAAAAGCAAAAAGGTTTCATATGAAATAATCTGTATGTGCATGGACCAATCAAAATAAGTCCTGAGTCCACACTTACTATACCAAATCTGAAGTTTTTCTCCCAAATTATTTGTGGGAAAAAATACAAAAAAGTTATAAAACTATAAACAAATCCATAGAAAAATGAGAATCTGAAAAAGCCAACTAGAATTAACAATAAAACTAAGGACAGCATGTTTTTAAATATACTGTTTAACTTTTGCCTTCAGAGCTGATAGAATATGAAATCTGGTTCTAACAAAGGCCCTAATGCTTATTAAGGCCCTAACGAGTCTGTGAGCAACATTGATTAAGGGCCAAATCTACATGTTAAGTTAGTTACCACAGCAGCAAACCCATCCACTTCTTTGAATTAAAAAAGCCTCTCAGATGAAAGGAAAATATAACATTCAATGATTCACAGTTAAATTCCAGCTGCACACAGCGCTTTGAGGAGAACTTCAATAACAGCCCATGTAAGTTAATGACTGATAACAGGTCCATCCTGAAAACTCCAAGCAACAGAAGCTCTGAATATGGGCCTCTTATCGTGCGCTGCACCAAGTGTGCTCCACCTTCAGGAAGATCAGCATCACTACAGCTGCAGTCCCAGAGGGGTGTCATGTGGTGGACGCTAAAATCATGAGCAGTCAGACCAACTTGCAGGGTTTTTCTGGACATCTTCAACATTTCCCTGCAGCTTTCCATGATCCCTGCAGTCGTCCAATATTCAGCCTGTCTCCAATAAACTAAACACCACCTTCCCATATGGTTTCTATCATGTTGCTCTGAGCCCATCATATGACATTCTTTAACAGGACTCTCCTGTAATATATCAGCAGCATTCCTGCTAACCTGGACAGGGAGAATCCACAAAGAATGCTGTCTTGTTGGCATTTTTCTCACTCTGAATCATCTGCAGCAACCTGAAACTTGTTTTAAGAGGCTATTTGCAGACTTCAGTTCAGCCTTCATCCCTGGCATGTTGGCTCAAAGCTAAACAACCTGTGTTTATCTGCACTGCTTTGCTGCAGGATCAGTGATTTCCTCATCAACAATCCCCAGGAGGTGAGGATAGATGAACTCACATCTGCCCCATGTGCTATAACCTAAACTGAATTCACAATCAGTTTAGGTTATCTTGCTCTAAGCCTAACCCTAAGCGAGGGCCTTCCTTCCTTCCTTCCTTCCTTCCTTCCTTCCTTCCTTCCTTCCTTCCTTCCTTCCTTCCTTCCTNATGTGATTTTGGTCTCATAATGACAGTAAAGATTCTGGACACTGATGCTATCTCACTGCCTCGTGGTTTGTTGCTTTAGAATGTTTAGATTATCTTTATTCAACATTTTTATTTTTCATAATTTCACTAAATGGTTAACAAACCTTTTCATTCAAGCAGTGAAAGACTTTTAAAAACCAGTAATTTTTACAGATGGACAGATAAAAGTAAAATTTTGAATTGACGGTTCTACCAACCTTGTACTTCCAACAAGCCTTTATGTTCCTTTGCCCCATTTTAACAAAAAGGAAGTCAAGATGACGATTGACACTGGTTGGCAGATGCTCTCTAACCACAGAGAGTCACAGGACCACAACAGCTCTGAGAACCGACGCGCACAAAAGAGCAAAAAACTGAAATGAAAGCACAAGGAGGCGCCCACAGGAAGCTCTGCAGTGACTACATGAACTAAGAAAGACTTTAGCTGTATCAATCTCATGTAAGAGAAGACCAGCCTTAAACGCCCCGGACCTGGGAATTGGTAAGTTATAAGTTTGATACATTTTACCAATATGTTTCAGTGTTTCATGTTATCCTCTAAATTACTCAGTCAATCAAGATCATCATGTATGATAAGCAGAAGCTCTTTACGCAGGGATAAATCTGCTGAACTCATCAGGAAACCAATTTATGTTCAAGTCTGAAGACACGCCTGCAGTCTCTGCAGTATAAACATGTATGGTTCTCCTTAATGTGTTCTATTGTTTCCTATGAAGGGTTTTAAACAGCCTTTTAAGCACTTAGAATTTACATATTAAATTACACAATTCTTTACCTTTTTCATTCCTTAATTGGATCATCTTTAGGCAGATTTAAAGTGTAAAGACTATCCGTTTGTTGTAAGGATGACAACTTGTTTTTTTCATGACATGCTCATTAACTTCCTCTGTTAATTTTAAGCAAAAAGAAGCTTTAGAGGGCAGCATATAGGATGCTTATCAGGAACTCATCTCACATTATTTTTTAGCTCAAAGAATCAATAGATCCTCTAAAATTACAGGAAATACAGACATGTGTGGAACGTACTGCTGGATCCACTTTAACCGCGTAAAAAAAAAAACATTTAAGGAAGAAGAATATTTATAGTTTTCTTTGTGGTACAATTGAATCATTTCACAACTCAGACAAACTGAAAATAAAATGAGTCTACTTCTGTTTTCCTCTGTTTTTTGTTCTGTGTTGGTGTATAATCTTCATATGATATGGATTCCAAACGCGTGATTTCCCATTTCTCTCGAAAAGGAGAACCAAGACCCACCAATAATGTCTGTAGGTTCTCAGTCTGATTATTTTCTGATAAAGTACCTTTTGGGAGATTATTTTTACAATATTTTTGTTGTTAAAGAGCTTTAATAGGATTTAATTTGACTCCAAAGAAGAAAATATTTCCCACATCAATGGATGTGTGTAACTGCTACCATGGAGATCTTATAAATAAACAGCTTTGTTGGTCACCAGGAAGGAAGCATCATGTCTTAGAGTAGGTCTGTGCCTTTAAGGCAGGAGAGGTGGAACTTTGTGGTATATACAGGTCACAATACATTTGAACACAGCAAAAACAGTTCATCATTACATACAGGAACTTTCTCCTATATAGCTGTGCTAATAAAATATGTCACTATTTCTGATAAATATGCTGGTGAAGATTCTCAGTCATCCAGGTCATAGTTATTCCAGAAAACTTTTTATGGAATATTTCTGACATTTTTTTTCCTCTTGGTTGATATTCAGTCATGATTGGTACAGGTTCCTCCTATATAGTGGAACACCTGCTAAAGATGTACTAAAATGAAAGAAATTCATTTTCTATTGCAGTGCCATAATCTTGCTCTATATCTGCATTGTTTTTATTCAACCTTTAATTTGTGTACATCTAACAATTACTACAATACATTAATCAAAAATATTTGGCTTGTCATAATGGGCTTGAAAGATCTGACCCACATGCAGAGAACCACTCAGAGACCAATTTTAAAAGTTTAACAGGTTTATTGTAGGTTAGCAAACACTGATGGAGATTGTAACTCTGTGGGGAAACAATGCTGGAACTCAGCGGACTGGTGAACCAGAACCGGAAACTCTGAAGGGAAGATAACAGTGATCAGTTCAGGGACAGTGGGAAAACAGACTTAGGCTTGAATATTGCTAGAGAGGCACTTGCTTTCTGGGGGCTCTTGGTTTATCCTTGGATCCAGTTTGTGGGGGTTTAATCAAGAAATGAGGGAACTCGTTGGAGAGCAGACAGGCAGACATACGTCGGACCCAGAGCAGTTAAGGAGAGGACTGTCACTTGGTTTTCCAGGAGTGTACTTGAACGGATCATGTGGAGGTTTTCCCCTTGCTCAGTGAGACTCAGTAAATCCTTCCAGGGGTAGAAGGTCCAGGCTTATCCACTAACACAGGAAGTCTTCCCAATACTGGCAAACACTCTGGCATGGAGGTGGTGACAGCCCACTGCTCAAGTACTCCTCTGGTAATGACCCAACGTGCCACAGGTGTGCAAGGAGGCCCAACGAGGACAGGGCACCACCTGGTGGTGGAGAGAGGAAAAACACAAAAACAACCCATACAAACTGGAATCCTAACATGGCTAAGTAATGCAGGTGTACTGTTTCTAACACATACTTTCAGCTGATCAGAGATTTGTGTAGGGCTGCATAGTTTAGCAGCGGGTAGCACTGATGCCTTGTAGCAAGAAGGTTCTGGGTTCTAATCCAAGCCCAGGGTCTTTCTACATGGAATTTGCATGTTCTCCATGTGCATGCGTGGGTTCTCTCCGGGTACTCCGGCTTCCTCCCACAGTCCAAAAACATGAGTGTTAGGTTAATCAACTTCTCTAAATATTCCTTAGGCGTGTGTGAATGGTGGTTTGTACTGTTTGTTTTTGTGTTGTTCTGCGATGGACTGGCGACCTGTCCAGGGTGTACCCCACCTGTAGTGCTGGTACAAATTAAAGATAGGCACAAGCACCCCTTGCAACCCCAGCAGGGACAACTGTGACAGAAATGGATGGAGATTTGTGTAACTTTGAATCAGTAACTGAGGTCTTTCTTCTTCCAGTTGATAAACATTTGGAGTGAAGAACAAACCCCCTCTTTTCAGCCATTATTCAAAAAAATGGGAAAGAAAAAAACCCATCCCATCTAAACAAGGTTGATGTTTATTATCATAAATCAAAAAACAGTTGCAGTAGAAAACAAGTATCTTCTCTATACAAAGTCAGAATAATATAGGAAGGCATGGAAAGGCTAAGCGTCTCCAAAACTAGAGAGCTGCAGCATAGATTGGCATCTAGAGGTCACCAAGTCTCCATAACAACCAATAAAAACAATCTTAAACACAGCTGGGTGCGTGACAGCGAAGGCATGGAAGTAATCCTTAGAGTGATCATCAAAAGTTTAATCTAAATGTCCTTTAAAAAAGAGACCTTGGGTCTCATCTATAAAGCTTGTGTACAAAACTTTAATTCAACTAGAATCATAGATCAAATCTAACAGACTTGAAACCACGGTGATATTCCTGATCAAATTTGAGCTATATCCAAATTATGTTTCACCATTATATTCCTCGCTGTGATGCCCAACAGTGCAAGTGATACCACAAATCAGCACATAAATGTAACAAGGTGTGTTGCATTCACACTGATTGCTGTAAATGTTTTTAATAGTGTGGTGACACCATTGTCTAACAGAGGTCAAAAAAGGGGAAAGAATGGCTTAGTGCAAAGTTCCCAAGACATACAATTACATAGTAATGTGGACTTGATACATATGTAATGTATTAATGTTCAGACAACACATAGTGCTTATTCAGATTTTCATTTTTTAAATGTCATTAATTTAAGTTGTTAAACATCCTGGGGTTCCTGGAAACTGGCGCTATTTCCCCCAAATATGATAAATAATCAAGAATCAATTCACTGCCTGAGGTATCAGTGCAAAGTGTATTACTGCCTGCCTATGTATATATCATTGTTTAAAAAGCTCAGTCCAGACATCAGACTCTAAACATGGTGAATACATACTATTTCCTCTTTATTTGTCAGTCCACTACTGTGGCTATGAAACGTTTATCTGGCTCTTTATCTCACTCCCCAAAACATATATTATTTTTCCAGGTTAAATTGCACATTTTCAACCTCTTACCTATCATCACCGATGATCATTGGTGATGATAGGTAAGAGGTTGAAAATGTGCAATTTAACCTGGAAAAATAATAGATGTTTAGATGTTCAGATAAGATTGATCAGCTGTCTCATTTAATTTGGCACCTACATTCAAGTGGTGCTTTACATGGATCATTCATGGCTGAATATGGATGTGTAGAGGGCCGAACATGAGGTGGAGTCTTGTGTGCAAACTCTGAGGTAGAGATGTGATTTATGAAGTTAAATTAAATGGTTTTGTGTTGGATTATGGTTTCATAATTTAGATTTTTTTTATATGCAAATTTGAGGTATTCGGCATAGAAAAACCTGTAGTATGGATCCTATAATCAATGTTTTACAAGACCCCAGGAAAGGTTCTGTAGAAATTCAGCGTCCTCTGCCTGGACTGTACCCTCATCATCGCTTATCACTAATCTGCAGAAACACTTACATGGCTTTGCAGTAGTTGTCTATTGTTTCAGAGGTAGATAAGAATCTGAATGCAGAGAGCTAGTCCATCACTTTAATGATGGTATTCCCATCTCAACCTTGTGAAAGAAAAGAGCTCTCTGCCTCAAAGGGGTCTTTTAACTCATATGTAAACTAGAAAACAGCAACCATATTTGCCTCATATTTTTACTTACACCTACAGCTAAAACTTGCACATCTGGTCATGACTTTTGGAGTCCATTGCTGAATCTATGAATAGTCACTGCTGCCACCCTATGGCTTAGGGAGGAGCTGCTTGGTTCCTCTATAAATCTCTATCCTACAATGTTAAAGAATGCTTTAAAAATAATCCTGTATCCGGATTATGATCTCGATCATCACCAAAATTCAATGGATTGTCCCTTGGCATGAGGCACACCTCTGGTAAAACTGTGACTAAAATTTGTTCAAAACTTTTTAAGTTATTCTGTACTTAGACAGACAGACAGAAAGACAAAAACACACACAATCTCACCTAAAAACATAACCTCCTTAGCGGAGGTAACAAATGCCCTGTACTTGTATAATTCTATAACAATTCCAAGGAGAGCATGCTACATTTGCACGCCGATGGTGGTAAGCTACATTGTAGCCACAGCTGCCCTGGGACACACTGACTGAAGTGAAGACACCAGCCCCTTTGAACCAGAACAGCAGGCTAGGACAGTGATCTGTCTTACCCGAGGACAACAACTGAGACAGCAGGAGCTCAACCAGCAACCAACTGGTTACATCACAAAGTCCTACCTACTGGATCACCATCTCCCCAACATAGAAGATGATTACTGATTCAAAAATAAACAGGAATATATCAGACATCATTGATGAAGAAGTGTATGTCATAGAGGGGTATAAATACCACAATGGAGATGCACAGTGAAACACTTTACAGTAGCAATAGCTTCCTGGCAGGCAAAACCGAGGGCCATAAAGCTGTCGTAACTTTTCATAAGGAGAGTGACACATGTAGCAAGTGTTAGTTCAAAAGTTTATCATGTCTTCTTTTTCTTAGACAATTTAGATGGTTTAGTGATTCCACAACTATTTAGTGAATCTTTCACAGAGCAACCATAGAGTCCATTCTTAGATAGACTTTTTACTGTTGGGTTTGATAACCTCACAGTTGCAAAACCAGAGTCCAGAATCTGGTTTAGATGGCAGGTGAGATCACGACTTAGACTGAGACACACTTTATTGTCATTTTGTATGCACAGGCTGTATACAAAACAAATTTTCATTGCATACAGTTTCCAACAGTCTTATGGGATTACAGTTGGAGTAAGATAAATATTACAAACATAAAGTGCAGCAGTGATCTGAATATAAAGGAGAAAAAAAAAACAGTTTAAATGATGGTGCAAAAGGGCGTTGATATGAAAAAGATTTGCTGCAGCGCAAATATGGTGCAAAATGCAGTAGAAACATTTGAGTTGTGTCTTATTTAAAAGGATTATAAAAGTTCAGTACATTAGTAGTGCAGATTAATGATGCAAGTGTGAAGCAGAGTCCAGTTTAGAGTTCAACAGTTTAACAGTCTGATGGCAGCGGGGAAAAAGCTGTTGCAGAATCTGCTGGGCCTGCATTGAATGCTGCAAAGCCTCTTCCTAGAGGGCAGCCTATGGTGGGGGTGTGAGGGGTCACTGATGAAGTTACGGACTCGGGACACGCAGCGCTGGGATAAAATGTATTCAATGGAGGGAAGAGGAGCCCCGATGATTCCTATTGTCCTCACCACTCTCCTCTCTCCACACCAGACGTATTGTCGCCACAACATCTGTTTGAGCAGGAAATCATCCGACAAGCTGAGAACCTTTTGTCTCACACACCAAATTCCAAAAAAGTTAAAAAACGATCCACCGGGCTTAGCTTCCAAGTTTGAGGATGTTTTGCATCCCATCCAGGAAGCCTTTTAAATTCTAAATTTCAGAAATAGCGAGTTCGAGGCTTTAGAGAGTGGACCAAAAAAAAGCCTTTTTTTGTCTTAGAAAACATGTAAATTGAACCGGACATATGGGTCTGCCCCTTAGTAATGAGGGTTGTATGGGTTCTTTGTTAGCCTGTAATACCAGATACCTGTCTATGTCTCTGAAAGGGGAGGTTGTTAGGGGAGCGGGGTCTTGTAGAAAAACTGTGGGGTGAGCTGAAGTAAGTGTGGGGTGAGAGGAAGTAGAACTCTGGACTATCTGGAAAAATGTACAAAGAGTAATAGTAAGAAAAACACTGAGTGTATGTTTAAAGTGTGGGACATACTGTATAATATAAGACTAGGTATTATCATACTGGGAAAAGGAGCTTTACAGATAATCGGAAACAAGGGGACAATCAACAATACTACCAGTATTTATGTTTGAAAATATACTCGCTAGCTTGGGATTTTTAACCTCACTAAATGATTTCAACCAGTCTCCTTAAAATGAGATTGGATTAAAACATGTATTAAAATTATTCAAAGGCAACAAAAAGTGACAGTTGTATCAGTGGGGTCTTAATCAGCCTGGCTCTGAAATCAGTTTTAGAATTACCCAATCTTTTGTAGTAAAAGATATAACAAAAATAATTTATATCATGTAAATAATATAATAAATCGTTAAACTGTGCGCTGGTTAGTTTTCTAAAATCAGATTAAAATTGGAAATAAATTATAATTGTGTATATGTATAATGTAAAAATAATTATAATTATACATAAGCTTTAGAATCTGGGTGTAAATAAACATTTTTGTTTATATAAGAGCTGCTCTTTGAGCCTGGTTGAAGTGAAGTGTCTCTAAGCAAGAGGTTAATGAACTAGTATAGCTTAAGTGCTTCTGCAGAAGGAGATAAAATGATCTGAGATGATCAATTTTGATAAATGCAACAAGAGATGGAGGGATGTCTTTTAGCTAAAGTAACGAATGGCGTATGACTTTAAAGGTGGCAGTACTCCACATCTTTGTCAGTAACATCTATAATGCCTTCTGATGTTACTTAACCAAACCAGGAACCATGCTATGGTTTGTAACCAACATACATTTTGTGGATTTCTTTTCTTTTTGTGTAGAGCATGCAGGCCATATATAAAGGCTCTAGTCCTCGGAGGGGCTGTATCAAAGACATTTCCTGCATGTTAGCACTTCCTGATGCTAGGGCCACAAAACCTTAGGATCAAAGAAATAAGTTTCAAATGAATAAATTAATAGCAACAACCTCTTTTGTCACATCATTTATGTAAAGATACTATTACATTAAATTAACATCTTGATTAAATAATCATAGATTAATGTAATCGTTTTTGAATGGATTTACAATCTAAGATGATGATTTGTTTATACAATCCTGTTAATTAATTCCTTGTGATTTATACTAATCAAACGTAAGGATAAGCATTCTTATTGTCATGATGTCAAAATTGTCCAAGTTGTAGTCTTGTGGAACCCAAATCTAGAAACTAACCTGGATTTCTACTGTCTGGAAACTATACAGCCAAATGCTCAGTGAACTACACAAACCAAGGTTTAATAGCTTTTTAAGCAGAACAAAGAATCCTTGGTTGAAAAGACATTGAAAAGACGACATTATTTACATCCAAACATCTACATTTGGTTGAAAAGTGAAAGGTGAAACTCTGTAATTTTAAAAACCCTGTTTTCAAGGTCTGTTATTGGACTAAAGTGGGACAAAATCCGACCAAACACAGCTCAGTTTTCAGCAAGTATTTCTGGACTAAATCAAGACTAAAACAGACCAACCAGATTTAGCCTAAAAACCAAAATATAAATGACCTCTGGTGTTTTGTAGGGGTTGCTCCAGGTGGCTACACATAGAATAGCTCTACTAGTTTTATTTTGATATTCTTTATAAAAGAATTTCAGTTCCTCCGTTTGCGGATCAAAGTTTTCTTTTGTCTGTTTTTTTCCTCCCTGGTTTTGGATGCTGTGGATCTTAAAAGGTGTTTGCTGATATTTCCTCAGTTTTGGACATTTGCAATGATGCCTAACTACTAAAATTAAAGCAAGTTTAATATATATATATATATATATATATTTTTACACTTGGAAGCCACTCATTAACATCTCAAAAACTCCAGAAGACCCAGTTAAGTAAAAAAAGGAGGCACTGATGATGCAGAGGAGGAACAAGGAGAAGAGGGAGGAGGAAGAAATTCAAGACATCTCTTTTATCAGTAATTATTGTCAACTTGAAAACTTTTGGAAACAAGTTAGATGAAGGAGACAATTCCATTGATAATAAAGACTTCCTGCATTTTTCTGGTACCAAAAGAAACTTAACTAACGGTCCTCAGAGGCCTGACCTGTTTCTCTGACATCCTGTTGTGACACCCAAGTAAGCAAACAAGCAGCTATCAGGGCCCCTGAAGTTTGCTTATCTCCATGCTGTTGGAGTTAAAGATGCCATCATAGCAGTAAGATGATGCTTATCTTCTATAAATCTGTTGTGGAGAGTTTGATCTCTTCTGCCATCATCCGCTGGGGTAACAGCATCAGATCGATTTAGCATAAAGAAGCTCCATAATCTGATAAAGAATGCCAGTTCTGTTCTAGGAACTTCTTAACATTTTCTGGAGACTGCATATAATGAAGAACATTCTGCATAACCTTGAACATCCTCTCCAGACTATTAAATAACAAAACGTTGTCATCAGGCAAAGGCTTCTCCAGATCTGGTGCAAGGCAGAACATTATAGCAAATCCTTCCTGCCTACAGCTATAAACATCTACAACAAAGTGCTAAAAAAATATAACATACTACAACATTTCATTTCCATATGGGATAAATAATGTATTTTTGAGCTGAAAGGAATTTAATTGTACAGCAGTCATCAAAGAACAGTATATGTTTCATAATATTGAAGAGGAGTTCACTCAAATGTTTATGCTTGTTTTATTGGAGACTTATTGAATGATAAATACTTTTCCTGTTTTATTGTAGACTGGCAGCATTACAGGTGAAGATGAGTAAGTCACAGATTTCGGACTTCCATCTGGAGACGGATGACAGAACAGAGGAAGAAAGATCAAGGCAGAAGGCACCAAAGAAGGATGGTTTAGCTTCTGCTTTAGGTATGGACAAAGAGGAGCCCAAGGCCCCAATGGACACTGATTACCAAGAGGACATGGAGCCCCGAAAGCCTGAAATTCGATTCAATCTCAACTTTGATAAGTGAGTGTCTGCATTCAGATAATAACATATTTATGCATTTGTTTACCTTCAAATTACAAGGGGTTCTACGTGCTATCAAACCTGCTGATTTGAATAGACTTATAGGCCGTTAGATCCACAGTAAACCCTGCCATGGGCTCTATACACAACTCCACGACTTCCTGAACTTAAGGCAGCTCTTTTCTTTCCTTTCTTTCTCTACTGGAAGAACTGAATAATCAACGTTTGCCTGACCTCAGTAACCATGGCCAGACAAACCTAGATTAATCAGTTCATCCAGTTCAGCAAACCAAAGGACTGCCTTAAGTTCAGGAAGTAGAGGAATTGTGCATAGAGCCCATTGCAACCGCTTTTGTTTCCAGAGGGATTCGAGGCGAGCCACCAGAGCAAAAGAGGGATAGCTCCACTTTTACCATCGAGAGATTATTTGAAGCAGTGGCCAGCAGGGACCCTGGGAAACTGGACGGCCTGTACGAGTACTTGCATCGGAGCATGAAGAAACTCTCTGACTCTTTGTGTAAGTGAGAGAGCAGCTATGATGCAGCAGGTGTCCCAAACTGATCAAAGGAGATCTGTGCTCTGACTCCCCCATCTAACGGTTGCATCTACAGATCAGTCATATGGCAAAACCGCTCTGATGAAGGCTCTCATGCACTTCAAAGATGGCAAAAACCAAACCATAGATGTGCTGATCAACATTTCAGAGAGGATTGGTGACATTAAAGAGTTTGTGAATGCAGCCTACACCAGTAGCTACTATAAAGGTCCATTTCCCTCTGAATGAAGCTTAAATTTGCCAGTCTGCTTTCTCTTTCAATATTCTGCTATTTTAATAACAGTAGCAAGTAACAATATGTTATTACCTTAATTTTTTTCAGCAACAACAAAACAATAACCATACACTTTCCCTGGGTTCTCATAGGTCAGACTGCTCTTCATATAGCCATTGAGAGAAGGAGTATTTACTATGTGAAACTACTGGTCAGCAAAGGTGCAGATGTTCATGCTAAAGCATGTGGAAAGTTCTTTCAGCCACATGATGGACCCAACTTCTACTTTGGTGAGTTTTTGTTCTCTCTCAGTACGAAACATTACAATGCAAAGGTGTTAGTTTATGGACCTTTCTTGTTCATAAGAAATAAAACATACACAGATACGAGAGAAGCATTCAAATTAATTTCTTCCAATCTTGAGTGGTAGTTACTAACTTATGTCGGGAGCAGATGTGACATCACAAAATGTGAAACCAAGCAAGGTTCTGGCATCATCCTGCCTGAAAAATTTATACATTTTTTTTGTGTTTAATCGGAAAAGATGAACCTGGTCTAAATTAGATGATTTATTGGTACAGAGAAGGGTTGGTTTTGGGGCCATTCAAGACTCAATGTTAGCCTACCATATGCATAAAAAATATATGTTAGGTTTTGATCTCTGGAATCATGTGATGTGGGAATAGCAAAGTGTGTCAAACATCAGATTTGATGGTAGCTTATCTTCATTTTACTAGCATTTTCTGACTATATGATTTTTCTCCAGCAATGATTTGGCTTCTGTTACATCATTTTCATGTTCATGGCAGACCAAAGTGTTTGTTTATTGATGGCGGTCTTAAGTATATAAGGCAGAAAATGGTTACAGTGGTCAGTGTTGAGGCTCTTTCCAGTTAACCATTTGGGTGAATAATGAATAACTTAATAACTTTTTAAATACTAAGTGCATTTAAGATGTCAGTGCACTTCTTTGCATGTCAATCAGTAGAAAAATGCATCATCTCTAGGTTTTTATCTGTTCAGAGTTGTCAAGGTTTTCTGAGTGTGTGTGCAGAATGTAATCAACCACAGTACACACTGTTCCAACTGTTAGCAACCTAGCAAACAATTATTGTATTAGTTAGGATACTCAACTCTGTTGCTTCATTTACCACCCATCAACCAAATCACTTCTCTTTCATCCAAGTGTTACAATTGGAACCTGATTTCTTAACATATGAATGGGTCTTCACTCATGACAATGATCCCAAACACAGAAAACTAGTTTAAGAGAGGCCAACAGAAAACAAGCCAATCAGAAACCTCCATTCTGCCAGGAAGAATGGTCAAATTTCCAGTTAAAACTATGGCAGAAAATTATTGATGAAAGTTTGTGGTTGAACTTGCTAAGAAACAGTTAACCACAAATAAGCAAAGAAAAGGCTTTGTAGAACTTTATGAATGGAAATTTCAATGCCCTTTCAATACTAAGCTGCTGCTCATTCACTGTCTGAAAGCTGTATAAATAAAATTGTGTTTTGTACACACTCTGTGTATACAAAATGACAGTAAAGTTTGTCTAAGTCTAAGTAGAGGTGTACTTGTATTGACCGCTTGGGAAAACAGTCAACATGAAATTCGGTCTGGCGGGTAATTGCTTTTAAAATTTATTTAAAAAAGAAGCAAAAAAAAAAAAACAAAGGTCACATGGCTTGGTGACCTTTGTTACAGGTCTCTGCTTACTTTCAAAAATATCAAGAACTAAAGACCATTAGTACCTAAAAATAATGTCTAATTTCATAGTGTTGTTGTATATTTCCCTTTCTATTGTTTGCTTGTCTAAATGTCCCACCAGATCCCCACATTCCTTGTATCTGTAAAAACACTACTTGGCAAAAATTTCTGAATCTAAATCTGATGGTTAAAATATTATTTTAAATATTTGAATTTTAGGTGAGCTGCCATTGTCTCTAGCAGCCTGCACAAACCAGCCTGACATAGTGGACTACCTCATGGAGAATGAGTATCTACGAGCAGATGCCACGATGACTGACTCTCACGGCAACACAGTGCTGCATGCTCTGATGTTTGTGGCCGACAACACAAAGGAGAACACAGAGTTTATTGCAGCCATTTATGACCGTATCCTAAAGAACAATGCCCGACTGTATCCTAAGATAAACCTGGAGGAGAAAGAGAACAAGGACGGTCTAACACCTCTCAAACTGGCTGCCAAGTTGGGCAAAAATGGGGTAAGAGTTTAGTCTTTATGAGTGAGAGTACTTTGGGTGGAGGTGGCAGGTCTGAGTGGATTGGAACCCATTTGGTCTCATGAGATGTATCTGCATTCTCACTTTGACGGTTTCTAACTTCTCTTCTCTTGTTTGTCTGCAGATTTTTTCTCACATTCTTCAAAGAGAATTTCAAGAGAATCACTTCAAGCACCTATCCCGTAAATTCACTGAGTGGGTTTACGGACCTGTCCACAGTTCCCTGTATGACCTGTCCTCTGTGGACTCATTCGAGAAAAACTCTGTCTTGGAAATTATAATCTATGGCAGTGACATTCCGGTAAATCCCAGCTTTGTTGTTGCAATCCCACATTTGGAATATATTAATCTATACCTTAAATCATAATATTGTGTCTCTTCTCAGAACCGTCACGCGATGCTGGAGACCGAGCTGCTTAGCGACCTGCTGGAGGATAAGTGGAAGAAGTTTGGAGGGAGAATGTTTTTTGTCAACTTCCTGATCTACCTTGTGTACCTGTCCATCTTTACTGGTGTAGCCTACAACAAAAGAAAGTTTCAAGATTTAAATGTAAACAGCTTAACACATGGTTTAACAGGCCGGAGAGAAGCTTGTCCTGATGTCTCATCTGTGTTCCACAGGTTTGGTTTCATGAGGACAAAATGTCGAGTTTCCTGTATGCTTCAGGCATGCTGTTTACATTAATAGCAAACTGCTATTTCTTCATCACTGGGGTATGTAAGCTGCATTTTTATCCAGCAGTCTATGTTGTGAACAATGTTATGTTATGTTCATTGAAAACTTTAAAAACTCCTTAACCCCTTCAGATCTTGGACATGAAGAGAAAGCGGCCAAAGACACAGAGCCTGATGATTGATGGATATTATGAGATTCTCTTGTAAGTAGATTTCCTCTGATATTATTTGGTTACAGGTATGGTCAAGAGTTGTTTCAGAATGATTACCACAATTTCCCTGCGTTTTAGAATTGAGCAGCTTAAGGTGGTCGCATGTTGGAGTAGCCCTGCTAGATTGACTCTGATATTCTATTTATTTCCATTTGTGGATCAGAATTTTTTTTGCCTCTGGTGTTGGATGCTGTGAAACTGAAGGATTTAATCTGGTCTGTTTCCCTTTTCAACACTTGGTATGATGTATAACCATCATAACCAGAGCAAGTAGATTTTTTTACACCCAAGGACAGCTCATTAAGATCTCTTAGGCTGAAATAATACTTCAACTACTTCCAAAGTATCAGCTAAGTTCAAAAGAATAGGCCAGGGATGCAGAGAAGGAGGAAGAAGAGAGAGGACCAGAACATTTAAGCATCTCTTCCATCAATCATTATGGGGATGTGAGATCTTTAGGAGACAAGTTAGAAGAACTCCAAGCCCCAGCATGGATGCAGCCACAGTATCAGTAATACAGAATTATTTGTTTTAATTTCTGCAGGATAATTTCGTAGACTCCAGCGTCTCTCTGCCAGGCTTTCTCACCCTACAAGCAGACAGAGATTTAAAGAAGACTAGAAAAATCAAGTGAGGTGGAATGGTAGTGCTCGTGAACAACAGATGCTTTCATCCAGTAGCTGTTACTGCGAAGATTCTTCACTGCAGCCCAGATATTGAACCATTGGCACTTGGTTTTTGGCCATATTATTTGCCCAAAGAATTTACCAGTGTTGTGTTGGCAACAGTTTACATTCCACCTTCTGCAATTGTTCACGCTGCATGTGATGTAATCACTCCTGTTGGTGCTAAGCTACACATCTGCCAAATGCATTTGTGGCAATAATATGTGCTTTTAATTACTTGTCACTCTCTGCTACGCTGCCAATGTAACAGTTTGTAAGCCGCTGTACCAGAGAAAAATGAAGCCTTGGACTTGTTTTATCCAAATTTTAAGGTTACATCTCTAAAGTAAGATGCCTTCTTGAGAAATCAGATCATAATCTTGTTTCTTTCAGAATATAAGCTAATATATAAGAGACAAGCTGCATTAAAAAGAACTTTAAGAAGAGAGGATCACAGGAAGCTGATGAAACTCTGCAAATTGCCTAAAGACTACAGACTGGGATGCACTGTGTCTTCTACAGGGAGATAACATCAGTGCATTGACTGAGTGTGTGACTGACTACATGAACGTCTGTATGGATAACACCATAGGAAAGGAACAAGTTGAATTCTATTAAAATCATGCGTGAGTAAGTGGAGATACTTCCTAGGGAAGCTTAGGTCCTTCGGTGTGTGCAGCAATATGTTACATATCTTCTATAGGTCTGTTTAGTCTGCAGTCTCTTCTGCCATCATCTACTGGGGCAACAGCATCAAAGCAAATTACCTAAAGATGCTCAACAAACTTATAAAGGAAGCCAGCTGTGTTCTAGGAACTCCTCAAGAACCTCTGGATAGGATTTCATATAGAAGAGTTCTTCATAAAGTCAAGAACATTATGTTCCTGTATCTGTATTTTGTATTTCCATCTCTTTTTATTTATTTTTTTGTATTATTTGTAAAGTGACCTTGAGTGTCAAGAAAGGCGCTGTTAAATAAAATGTATTATTATTATTATTATTAACATTATGGACAACAGTGAGCATCCTCTTCATCAGACTGTTAAACAACAACAGAGTCTTCAGTAAGAAGCTTATTACTGGCAGATCCGGTGTAAGACAGCGCTACAGAAGGTCCTTCCTGCTTACAGCTATCAACAATTATAACATCTTATTGAAAATTGCCTATGAATAACTGCATCATTAAATTTCCCTTCGGGGTTTATCAATTTTTGTTTAAATTTAACTGAACTGAACTTATCTCCTCCAATTGAATCTGCCTATCTTCCCTGTACCTGCTTGAGAACAGCATCACACAACATAAAGCTGTTTATGAGGCCTTTACAGAACAGCTATTTATACTTAAATCAAATCACACATAGGCAGACATTGATCACTCATTCAGCCACTTTTGAACAGATTATGTATTAAGATATAAAAAGAAGGCTAGTTACCATGCACAACTCATCTGTGACAGATATTCATAGGAAAACATAATTTAAATACAGAGTACTCTGTTTTATTGCATAAAAGCCCAACATCACTGTATATATTTCAGTTTGTTGTGAAAGAGAAATGTGAAAATGTTCTCTAGATATAAATATTTTTATAGAGCATGGTTAATACAGGTTAACATGGGTCCCTCTGGATCAGTCTAACATCCACGTTGTTCACAGTTTTGCGCAGGGCCTCCTTTTCCTGATCTCCACCATTCTATATGTGGCGGACAGGGATGAATACCTGGGCTTCCTGGTGATATGTATAGCTCTCAGCTGGGTGAACGTGCTCTACTACTCCAGGGGCGACAGACACATGGGCGTCTACAGCGTCATGATACAGAAGGTAGGGTTCCACTCAGCTGCAGTCAGCATCCCAGAGGACACTTTGTTCTAAGGCCTTCTAACTTCTGTTTTTTTTTGCAGATGATCCTCAGTGATATTGTGCGCTTTCTTTTTGTTTACCTCGTTTATCTCTTTGGATTCTCAGCAGGTATTTTATCTTAGCTCAAACTAATTTAGAGTTAACCACTCCAGGATTTTTAGTACCTCCACCCCATCTTGGCATTACAGAAAAACTTTATTTTCATATTAGAAACGGGGATTGTTTGAATACAGTATTAAAGCAACATTTTGTCTCCTGTTCTAGCTGTGGTAACACTGCTGGTAGAGCCAGAGCAGCCAGAGCAGCCAGCGACAGGGAAGGGAGGACTTTTTGGAACCATTGCACCTAATTCAGAGTGTGTCAAACCCACCTATAGAAACTTCTCATACACCACCATGGAGCTCTTCAAGTTCACCATAGGGATGGGAGATATCGACTTTACCAGTGATTACAAGTACATGGAGGTCTTCTACATCCTGCTTATTGGCTACATCATTCTCACCTACATCCTGCTGCTCAACATGCTCATAGCCCTCATGAACCGCACTGTGGAAAACATCACGGAGGAGAGCAACAGCATTTGGAAGCTGCAGGTGAGCAAAGCTGTCCTTGACAGTAATTATAAAAAGGAATGAGGTTTAAATAAGTTACTGATACCCTAACCCTCTCCAGAGGGCTGTCACAATTCTGGACATGGAGAAAAGGCTCCCCTCCTGTTTGAAAGAGAGTTTTCGCTCTGGGGTGGAGAAGAAGCTTGGCCCCGCTCTTGGAGATGATCGCCGAAGGTTTTTCAGGTCTGCCTCTCTAATGATTCCTTAAGAAAACAACACTCTAATTGGCTTCGTTCTTTTCACTTTGTCATGAGTATTTTTGTATGAAGAAAGAAAACCTGATATGGTTGACTTACAAGTCATGTTTGTTATAATGGTGCATTAGAGGCTATAGATGAGATACATTAGTTATATTAAACATAAAGGCCCTCCAAAGTCCGGAAGTTCATTAATGTAATATGAGATAACTGTAGGGGAGGGCAAGAGTGGAATAGAACTTAATGGAATACCTGAGAATATAAATATACAGTGTGAGCTAAATGGGAATGAAGTGAAGATGTGACGAATCTATCAGAAATCCTGGGTATTTTTAGCCAAAGTAATTTGCACAACAGTGACAGCAGAGAAACAAAAGTAGAGAAAAAATTAACAGACCCTTTCAAAGAGAGCAGAGATCCACAAATTCATAAAAAATCACTGGAGTTAAAGCTCAGACTTCGCTAACCCATTTACAAATCAGATATGAACAGATTCAGGCACTGGTTTAATAACCTTGACCAAGTACACTAGGTTACAATTTTAATTCAACTTGTGTTAAAGAAACAAATATTAAGCATTTAAAACCTGAAGAAATAAAAAAAGAATGAACCCTTAGAATGATTTAAAGAAGCTATTCATCCTTACATGCATGTTTGGGGACCAGTATTCACAGAAAGAATGGCTGTGATCATGAACCAAAGGTCATTTTTGCTGGAAACAGACTTGGAAACTACAGTATACCAGCATGCAGCCCTAAGGAATAGTTTTCAATGTCTTCTAATTCTCTACAAAAGCTTCATTTCAGTCTGAACAGCTTTATTAATGGTGGTCTGTGTAGATGATGAGGATTATAGTCTCTCCTCTAACCTGGTGAACATTTTGGGTCCAATGTTTCAATGGCTTATTCCCTAGATTGCTCACCATCTTGCTAGTATGCTGAGTTTTCGCTTTTGTGCACAGTAGTTGGCCTCCTTTTACAGTTTAATCTTTTTATATTTTCTTTTCAGTGAAATTAAAATAATTTGCCCATAAACTGGTTCACACTGTGCCTAATCTAAAAAGGGAAACCTCAGCAAGAACTAATCAGAGGGCAGAGACAGAGGTCTCCTTGTCCTGTTTAGGGTTTAAAGAAAATACAGCTGTGTGATCAGGGCTGATGGATTCATGGTTTATGGTTTTTTTGGTTTGTTTTCCCATTAAACACCATCTGAGAGTCACACAGTAGAAATTGAAGGAAGCACGTGCTTGTTCTGTCCTTTAAGGGTTGAGAGTGTGAACTGGAATAAGTGGAACACTAACTTGGTCAACATCAGCGAGGATCCAGGATGCTCTGAGCGGATCCACCAGCTTGACGTTCCAACTGGGAGATATAACAGAGGTTCAGAAACATGAAGCAGTCTCATCTATCCAAGATGTTAAACTGATTCAAATCCTGTAACATTTCCTCTTCTTTCCACAGAGAGGAGCTGGAGGGGCTTTTTCATGGAAAGCAGGAGGAGGAGGATGCCGTCAACATCCACTGAAATGAGGCCCCTAAATATCTGAAGATGGATGGGGCTAAACACATGAAGATACTAGAGGAAAATCTGTTTAAGGATGCAGAAGAGAGAGTTTAGTAGAAGTTTCCCTTCCCAGTTGGACAACAGCTCAAAACATCTCGCCAGATGAACCACAAAATGTTTTATATCAAAGCATATTCATTTGTTAGAATGACCAATTTAAATTCCAGACATAAACCAATTGAGAATCTGTGATGGAAAAAGTGTTTTTTCCATCCAATGAAAAAGTGTCAGACTAGATTTACATGACGCTGTTGTAGAGCTGGAGATATCCTTCAGGAATAAACTGCTGCACCTTAGGTCCACTAAGCATCATTATAGCAGATCCTTCCTTCCAGCAACCATTTAGGCTTCAGCAAATTGCTTATAGCAAGCTAAATAAGCTGCCTACATCTCTGCTGTTAATTCCATGTTTTCTAGTTTCCTTGTAAATAGTCTAATGCCGTTTTTTATGTCTACTTCGTTACTTTTTTTAATTATCACATTCAAAATTCAAATTGCATTGATTTGAGCATCTAGTTTTTCATAATCATTCAGTGTTTTTTCTGTTATAAACTAAATCTTTTTTTCAAGAGAGTGCTAGTCAAGAATGGCAGCAGGACATAAACGATTATATATGCCCTCACTGTGGAAAAATACAGGGTTGTAAGTTACTCTATAATCATTTTATATTTTTCACAATTGGTGTTTTTGTCTTAAACTAGCTTTTGTGGCCAAAAGCGTTTTTATCAAGTATTGGTGTTTAACTTGCAAGCATGCATTCAGATGATCAGAAATCTCTCCACTGTTAGGGGATCCAAATACCTCGTGAATAACTCAGTTGATTTAATCTAGAAATAGTGTATTTTTTATACTATTGCAAAACATGATTCCTATATAATAAAACTTTTAAACAGGAATATGTTTATTTTTTATTATCTTTCTTTGCCTTGAGGGGATATGAAATATCATATCTGCTTCTAACAAGGGCCATAATGAGTCTTAAGGAAAGACATTGTTAAAGGAAAAGTCTGGTAGTATTCAGAATTCAAACTTCTGAAAGTACTTTAAATATTAAATTATTACATACTGTTCAATAAATTAAAAGTATTTTTAATTAAGAGTAATTTTCATTTGAATGTGCTTTACTGGAGGCATCCATGTTTGTCAAAGAACACTACTGCCACCTACTGGTTTATGATGTCACAGTGCGGTATCGGCTGTTGATCAAGTCCCGGTGCTGTATCTAGTGTTTGTCACAACGCGCTATTATCCAAGTCATCTTGAAAAAATTCTTCTTAAAAATGTTACATATTACATGTTTTCTCTCTGGCTAGAGGTTCAATGGCAAATCCTCCCTCTTTAAGTGTGCAATCCAACAACAAACCCGTATAGGGTCATGAATCGGAAAGGTGAAATTACACATTTTTTTTTTCCACTTTTAGCAGATGTATTACATAACATCCAACTGCCATGCACATGGGCATTGTTAGTTTAACTGTAGCTCTCGCCAATTTCAATGGTGAAGTCCTCTCAAAATCTTCAATAATTGTTGTTGATTGCAGATGTGTCTAGTAGTTCCCATTGATTTTGCTTGTAAAACGGGGAGAATGGCGCTAGGCTTACCGCACCGTGACATCACTGCTGGAAGATTTCAGGAGGTGTTATTATATTTGGACAAAAATGGGCAAAAATGGCCAGTCCCAGACTCGGTGTTCGCAAAGAAAACTATTATTTTCATTTTTTTACTGATTAACTCTAAATTCATTAAATCACCGCAAACGTATACGTTT